GCTCTTCCGCCATTCCCAATCTTCTGAGAACGCGGCACCGCCCGCAGGTTTCTCCTTTCACTTTACTGGGAGCCCAAAGGGGAAAGGCAAATAGATGGTCGCTTTTCTCTGTTATAATAAGCACTAAGTCTTCATAGTTAAGGTAAAATCGATGGTCATATCTGCTCCTCCAGATACTTTTCATCAATTGAGTGTGTGCTCAAGAATGGTAGAGGAGGGTGGAATAGTTAAGACCCTTGCCCAAGAAACTCTGCTGGCTCCGCACTGGAGCTTCATCATTAACCACCTACACCCTCTTGCCCCTGAAATAGCTGGTCTACTTCAGGACTCAAGAGCCTCCAAGAAACATTCCAGGCCTAAGCAATTCTCAAAAGTGTGGCCAGAGGATCCCCTGAGGGGTCCCCAAGACCTTTCAGAAGATCTTCAATTATTTTGCGGTTATGTATTTATAAGGCCAAATTTTCTTCATCTTCAACCAAACCAATATATAGCAACCGATCAAATGCAGAAGCAGACATGAGAATTAAGCCATCTTCTATTAAGACAGACATTGAAGAAATTTGCAAAAATTTAAAACGACGTCACTTCATTAAATTTTGTTGGGAAAATGTATTTTTCATAATAAATATTTGTGATAAAATGAATTTTGTTATAAATTTTTTTGTTATTCTTAGGTTTAATTTCTAACAGGTTAAATATAACTAATCCATATAAACAAAAGCTCTTGGAAGTCCCTCGGTAATTTTTAAGAGTATATAATGGTCCTGAGACTAAAGAGTTGAAAAACTGCTGGTCTAGGTTATGAGCTTCCAACAGCAGCTTGGACTGACTCTTATCTCAGCTCTTAATAAGCACTGTGATGTAATAGTCGTTAGTCATCACCCTGACCAAAATGAGCTTCTCAAGGACAGGAATTATGTCTGCTATCTGCAAGAACCATGACAGTACCCACTAAAGAATGATAACCAGCACCTGCTGTGCTCTTCTAAAACCTTCATTTGTTGATTTAAGCCACAGGCCAACCACAGGCCACATTTTAAGATTTGTGCAGGGTAGAGTAATAGCTCACAGGCATGTTGTGAAGATCTCTTCTGTACTCTTTCCAGTATTCTGGTATTTCAAGCACTCCCAATACCAAATGCTCTTCCACAAAGGAGTTTTAGACTGTCCTAATTCTACTGGAACCCTAGAATTCCATTGCCAACCTTGACTCATCAATCCCTCAAAACTTTGTTTTACAATCTTTTTTTTTTATGTTTTTTAAAAAAGGGAAATAGACATAAGTAATTTTAAATGTTTTTCACTTGGAATGTCTGAGATAAATTGCAAAAATAAATCTAATTTTATCTTTACTCTTCTGGACCTCAATGTGAAATTTGAAAAGGGCATTAAGGAAGAATAGTATTATTACAAACAAAATCCAACCCCAAAGGAATTCAGAAGAATAGAGCTAGAATGGAAAACTGTTAGATGGAAAATACCCTTAGACAAGCTGGGGAAAAAATTACCTTGTTAGAGAAATTTTAGTAAATTTGTGAAAAATAAAAAATGTAGGTTTAAAAATGTAGGCACCATAAGCCTGTCATATTTACAAAACAAAGATTTCTAATCCTGAAAAAGCCAACGAGCTTGCCGCAAATCATGTTTGGATTCTATTATTTTGAACCAGCCAAGCACCCAAATTCACATTTGTCCATTAACAATCTTCGCTTTTTGCTTCCAGATGTAAACACAAGCTGTCTTTTACCCAATCCTTAGGTTACTAAAAGAACCAGCAATATAACACTGAGAATGGTTCTAACTGCATGTAGGACACTTTTAGTTAAAAGACTTTTGGGAAAATTAGATTGTATTGGTAACACTGAAAATTCCAAATTAACTCAGAAAAAATAAATTTGGTAGAAAACAAGACAACTAATAGTGCTGAAACTAACATATTCATAATTGCCTAAAAAATTATGAAAGAATAAAAACTGACAAAATTTGGATCTTGCAAACTTACCCAGGAAAAATGAGGCTGGAGTAGAGTAAGCCATATAAGACAGCTCGCAATGATGCAGGCAAGGGCAGATTACGCTGGGTAGGGGGAACTCAAGCCCTGCACCAAGAGTTCTATGCTGAGTGCAAGAAAGAATTCAAATGCACGCCAGGGTTAGAGTCAAAGGAAATTTTATTAGGGAAGGGTAAAAGCAAAGACAAAAAAAAATTCACATGTCAGGGAATCCAGTTTATATATCATTCTTAGTTTCTGTGAATAACAGCTTAAAGACTTCGTTTACCCATTTTCCTTTGATATGGGCATACTATGAGAAAGGATAAGCGTATGTAGTGTGAAAAGGTACAAATATATAGCATGAAAGGCCTGCTGGCAATTCCCAGCCTTTGATCCATAGGTACTCCATGATTTTAGCCATAGGAAATGAATGATTTTATTTTGTGTAGGGCACCACTTAAAGACTCTGTTTTCCATTCATGTTGTAGAGAAGTGGTTTGTTAAAAATCCCAGCAGAAATCTTCCTTTGTTCTATAGGTTGCCTCATGGTCTGGCTGCAGGGCTGATCAGCATATTGCAGTCTCCGAATATAGCTTGATTTAACATTTGGTTCTCTTGCCTCCTCCCTACATTAACAATGCAGATACAAAAGTTAATTTCAATATGAAAAATGTGTGCCATCACTGAAATATTGGTCCTGACAGTATCAATTGTCAAAAAATGGGGGGCGGGGAATGAAAGTTAACTTCAGTGAACAGAAAAATCAATAAAAATAATAATTTTTAATGGGTTTTTCTCCAGAAAATATTTTCTGTACACACAGATACACTTTCATGTGAGTTTAGGATGGATGTAAATGTTTTTTTATTCTTAAACATGCGATCAAAACACTGGGATCAAAATATTTTGAACTTATTTTACTAAGATCATCATGGAACTTTGAGGCTTAATTCAGAACACTTTGTTCCTCATGTCAGCTTGCTTCCTTCCCACACATTTCTTTACCTGCTTTCTCCCAAAAGATGGCTCCCAGCCACTCAAGCTTTCAGAGGAAAACAATGGGTGAAAAGGAAATGCATGCCCCATCCCAGGGTGAATAATTTGCACTGCATACCAGAGTTCAGGGGAGCCTACAGAGGCTGGGACAAACAAGGCCAAATAATCAAATAAAACTTGTTCATCCACCAAGACTGTACAAGGCATGAAATCACCTTTGCAGAGTTCAACAATTCTGAGGTACAGGGAAGGAGCAAAGTGAGACCTGAGGCACCATTTTTGGAACCAATTCTATAATTACCTATCCACATGACCTACCTCCCTTAACCCTTTTGCGTTACTCTCCCTGCCAACCCACAACTATTTATACCTTTATTTATCCTTTGTATTAAAGACCCCAATAGGTTTCAGAAATAAAGGTATTGTTCCTGGCCTTAAGAAACTCAGAATAGCGAGAAAGATAAGCCATTGGACAATTACAAGGCAACCTGGTAAATGCTTTGACAGCAATTGGTACACAGAACATGTATATCATGCTTTTACCTGACCTGAAGTGGGAAGAGGGCATTTTGACGGAGGGGATGCCTTCAAGAGCAAGAAAATACCAGAGAACCAGGTGTGTTTCAGGAACTACAAATGATTCATAACCTGGTTCAATATATTGCATCTATTAAAAATATATTTTTTTAACAAAGAAAGTGTTTATAATAATCTTCCTCATTGACAATGTTTCTGTGGTTCCCTAAATCTTTCTAAGATTCCCTAAAATAAAAAGAATAAAATCCGAATTTCTTAATATGGCCATCAAGACCTTTTAGGATTGGTCCTTGCTCAACTCTTCAGCCTCTTATCTCCCTATTCCCTGATTTTGTAATTTATGATACAGCAACATCTAACTTCTTACTGTGTCCTACACCTATCCATACTGTCTCTTAACCTAAAGTCTTTGTTCATCTGTTACGCCTGACCAATGTCTTCCTCCCAACTGACCCTAAACACCACCACAATCCTTCCCATCACTTTATCTGGATTGTTCCTGCATCCTTTAAAGATGCAGGTCAATGATAACTGTCCAAATCCATCACACCTCATGGTGCAACATTAGAAGCATCCCCACTCAAGCCCAGGATGAGCTAGCCCACTACTATGACCGCCATTATCCTATATTAGCCAATACGTACAAGCGAGGTAAGAAATAATACATATAGAAGCAAAAATATAATGACTATTATTTGCATATGAGACATGCCTACCAAAGAAAATCAACTAAACAACTACTAGCATTAAGAAGTTGCCTGCGTATGAGGTCATTTTTTTTAAATTAGTTAAAAAAAAAAAAAAAAAAAAAACCTTTCCTATAAACAGCAAATGCCAATTACAATACAGTTGGAATAATAAGTTCCAAAAAACATATAGACTACATAAACTATCTATTACTCTATCCTTCTAGGTTTGTCTGACTGGTCGAATCATCAAATCTCTCATGGGACAGATTATTGAGAGAAAATAACTCAATTTAATTACATACACATGTATAGGAACCCCACATATATGAGAGAGTAAGAGACCTTACATACATGAGAGATTCAGAGATAGGAGGTTAAAATGAGGTGTATATGGCATTCTGAGCTCACAGTGAGGTAAAGCACCTTGAGGCTTCAGAGGGGGAAAAAGTCATTCACAGGATGATAAGAAGAGTAGGTGTTGAAGAATAGATGTTCGGTAAATTATAAATTTGCCCTGCCCTATAGATAGATCATAAACAATTATTTCTGCTGATAACTTTTATTATGGGCAAGGCCCCAAATTTAAATTTTTTAAGGAAGAGGTG